TAGCGATGGCCTCCAACCTACTAGCGATGGCCTCCAACCTAGAAGCAATGGCCTTCATCCTAAGAGCAGCAAAGGCTTTCTTGATAAGCTTGAGTTTGCACACCGAGCCCATGGTGGTCAGGATGAGACAGGCCCAGTCCTCTCAAAGTCTGGCCTTTTGTTCGATGACCTCGTCAGCGATGAGGAGGAGCAAGCCTGGAGAAATAGAAGACAAGATAACATGGGCTCTTAACACAAGATTAAGTAGAAGACGGGGATGGCATGGAATCTAATCCTCGTTCTTTTGAAGGAATCCTTTCGCATCGTTGGCTCAGAAAGTGCTCAGTCCATCCGAGCGCCATTGGATTCGGTTGAAGGCACAGCGCATTGAGCATAGTAGCCGCAGTAGCCGTATGCAAGTCCTACCAGGTTTCTCAGGGGTAGCACCACCTGGAGTGGAACCTGCTGCCCTCCGGATGGCTCGAATAAATGAAGATATCGCAGAGCTTCAGGACATGCTGGAAATGACCATCCGGGACATGGATGCTCAACAAGCAGAAGCAGCTTTGGAACTGCAGCGCATGAGAGCCCGCTTGTTGGATGGGCTTTGTCCAAGCAAGTTACGCCGCAGCGAGCGGTTGAAAGGCTTGGCGAGGCGCTTGGCCATGCTGGAGCAGAATGTTGGCCGAGAACAGGCTGAGTGCGTCAAGGTCATGGAGGCTGTGCTGGCGACAGTTGAAAGGAACGGTGCAGTGGCAGAAGCTGTGTGCCAACACCTGAGTGGCATCGCCACCACCAGGGCCACTACGGCTGCTCAGATGCTGCCAGACCCGAACATTCACCAAGAACTCGCGGCAAAGGCCGCAGAAGTCTGTGGAACTGGTTGGTCACCTGTGGTTGCTCCACCGAGACCTTCCGAAATGTGCCCAAAGTCGGCTCCTGAGAAGTTCACAGCTCCAAACTCTGTGCCTGAGGGGGACATTGGCAGCCAGAAAGGCATTGTTGAAGAGGTTGGCGATGAGAATACAGGGTGCTTGGAATCTGAAGCGGCAAATCATTCGTTTGCAGCTTGTGGAGAGGAACAAATGGCACAATCCCAAGGTGACAAGGAAGTGTCTGTGCCAGATGGAGCCACAAGTCAACCGCTGATAGTGCAGGCGGCAGAAGAAGCTATGCTTCTAGCCACACTTCCCGATGTGGCGCTAGAACCCCGCTCTGAGCCCCTAAGAGGTGAAACTCAACGCTCAGAGGATTTGCAACCGGAAAGCATCTCCAGTGAGGACAGCTCCAGTGGAAGGCAGGGACAACATGTGGTGGTGACTCGCGTGTCCGTGTCCAGCAGTGATGGTGCAAGCAGCAGCAGCAGTAACAGTAGCAGCAGTGAAGTGATTGAGCATCGCTGAGTGCGAACTGCAAAAAGCAGGCAGAAGCTGCTTGTCCGTTGATCGTCCGGCTATTTTGGTGTAACTTGAGCATTCTTTGATCATTCCTTTTTTGTTTTTTTGGCTTGAGTGATTCGCTGCAGGAGCCAAGGCAGAAGGGCAAGTGGGACTTTGGGCGTCATGCAGAGGAGGGAGCTGCCAACTCGACCTTAGAGGCAAAGATCAGGCAAGAAGTGCGAGCTGAAAGTGCCGAGAGAGTGCTGCAGTCTTGCTGCAGACTTGCCTTACTCGACCAGATAGTCTTTTCATGTCTTTTCATTTCGCTTGAATCCTTTCTGCAAAAGCCTTGTGAATCGTTGTTCACAAATCTAGCTTTAATGTACAAATGCCTTCATGCCGGAGCTTTTTTAGCCAAGTGGCCCTAGGGAGAAACTCGAGGAATCGAGTGCAAAGGAAGAAAAGGGACAGGAGAAGGTCCATACCTGACAACGAGCAGTGTTGCTGTGCTCGGTTGTGCTGCTTGCTCATATTGTAGAACGTTTTCTCAATTTGTCCCGTATTTTTTGAGGGGAAGAAGAAAAGGAAGGGCAAGAAGGTTGGTGCCTCTGTGATGTCAACACTCGCAAGATTATGGCCTTTTTATGCAGCATGCAACTTCCCGTGTTTCTCTTTTTAGATCAGTTCTTGTACGTACTTTGCAACAAGACCTTGTGTGATTGCTAGGGTTGTTGCGGACTTTACTTACCATTCTCAGATGTGTCGGAAGTTCCGCACCAAGGTTGAGACAAAGTCCGAGGATCCTGTAGAATCGGAGCCAGATGCTGATTTGTCCCACTGGGATCGTTGCAGCTTTGGTTTAGGTGTTGGTAAGTAAGTTTACCAAAAAAGCTAGGAACCAAATCATTAGTGCGTGAGCGCTTGAGTAACTAGTAGCGAACTACTCCCTTAATTAAGCAGGCACCTACTTAATCAAGTAGGAGCGGGCTAAAACAAAAGAAACAGAAAAAGGCTCTGAGAAGTGACGAGGCCAACACAGTGTACTTCGAGGCCGACGGAGGAGGTCCAAGGCGTTGACATTCTTTCCACTCCTTTCCTGTCGTGCTTCTCTTGTCTTCTCTCATCATCCTTCCCCTACCGGCCGTACCGGCCCTTGTTTGCCGCCATGAGGCACTCCGAAGCATCTGCGAACCAACGTTCACTTTGCCGACCTGCGGCTCTCAAAGCCAGAGACTGAGATGTGAGATAGGTGTGCCCACTCTGAGCTGAGCTTCTGGGCTCAGCGAAATGGCCTCCAAACCTTTTTTTGCATTGGCCTCCAAGCTGATAGAGATGGCCTCCAACCTAATAGCAATGGCCTCCAACCTAACAGCAATGGCCTCCTACCTAATAGCAATGGCCTCCAACCTAATAGCAATGGCCTCCAACCTGATCGAGAGGGCCTGAAACCCAATAGAGATGTCCTCCAACCTGATAGATATGGCCCGGCCTCCAACCTAATAGAGATGGCCTGCAACCTAATAGCAATGGCCTCCACCCTCATAGCAATGGCCTTCAACCTGACAGAGATGGCCTCCAACCTGATTGCAATGGCCTCCAACCTAATAGCAATGGCCTCCAACCTAATAGCAATGGCCTCCAACCTAATAGCAATGGCCTCCAACCTGATAGAGATGGCCTCCAACCTGATAGAGATGTCCTCCGACCTGATAGAGATGGCCTCCAACCTAATAGCAATGGCCTCCAACCTGATCGAGAGGGCCTGAAACCCCATAGAGATGTCCTCCAACCTGATAGATATGGCCCGGCCTCCAACCTAATAGAGATGGCCTGCAACCCAATAGCAATGGCCTCCAACCTGATAGAGATGGCCTCCAACCTCATAGCAATGTTCTCCAATCTGATAGAGATGGCCTCCAACCTGATAGCAATGGCCTCCAACCTGATAGAGATGGCCTCCGACCTGATAGAGATGGCTTCCAACCTGATAGCAATGGCCTCCAACCTGATAGAGATGGCCTCCAACCTGATCGAGATGGCCTCCAACCTGACAGAGATGTCCTCCAACCTAATAGCAATGGCCTCCAACCTGATAGAGATGGCTTCCAACCTGATAGCAATGGCCGCCAACCTGGTACAAACGGCCTCAGAGATGGCCTCCAACCTGATAGAGATGTCCTCCAGCCTGATAGAGATGGCCTCCAACCTAATAGCGATGGCCAATAATAATAGCAATGGCCTCGAACCTAATAGCAATGGCCTCCAACCTAATAGCGATGGCCTCGAACCTAGAAGCAATGGCCTCCAACCTAATAGGGATGGCCTCCAACCTAGAAGCAATGGCCTCCAACCTGATAGAGATGGCCTCATAGCAATGTTCTCCAACCTGACAGAGATGGCCTCCAACCTGATAGAGATGTCCTCCAACCTAACAGCTCCAACCTGATAGGGGTGGCCTCCAGCCTGATAGCAATGTTCTCCAACCTGATAGAGATGGCCTCCATTTGATAGGGATGGCCTCCAACCTCATAGCAATGGCCTTCAACCTGACAGAGATGGCCTCCAACCTAATAGCAATGGCCTCCAACCTGATAGAGATGGCCTTCAACCTCATAGCAATGTTCTCCAATGTGATAGAGATGGCCTCCAACCTGATTGCAAAGGCCTAACCTGATAGAGATGGCCTCCAACCTGATAGAGATGTCCTCCGACCTGATAGAGATGGCCTCCAACCTAATAGCAATGGCCTCCAACCTGATAGAGATGGCCTCCAACCTGACTGAGATGGCCTCCAACCTGATATAGATGTCCTCCAACCTGATAGAGATGTCCTCCGACCTGATCCAGATGGCCTCCAACCTGATAGAGATGGCCTCCAACCTAATAGCAATGGCCTCCAACCTGAT